GATGGCACCTAACAACAACAACAAATTTCTTCTGGTCTCAGAGTCATGGAGACTGATAATCACATGTTCCATTAGTCCAATTTCATTACTCTTCTCTCTTCTACACATGGAGAGACCAATAGATGCACCTTAGATGGCCGCTCATGAGCTTTGAAAATCCCAGATGCTACTGACCAAAGTGGGATGTAGAACATTGTCTTTGTGGATTGTGTTTTGCCAGTTGACCATGGCGTCCCCTGAGACTATGGTCCTGAGGCCTCAGGCCCAGCAACTCCTTGCCTTAAGATGTTTGATAATATCGAAGTTGTCATCATTTTGTCCACTCTATGCTCCACCATATTCATAGTTGTGTTTGCAGAACACAATGTATCAATGTCCAAATATCCTCTTTCAAACACTTATATATTTGTGGTTATACCCATACCCATTCAACCTGTATCTCTGTCCATGTTTCTACCCACACAACCCTGCTGTACTGAGGTTGTGTACATTTGCCTCTATCTCTTTTAGCCCTTAACCCCTTAATACCAGTAGAGTCCTCTTGTCCTTTTGGTTGGATGTCTATACTTACTTGGTTGGATGTTACACACATATATGTGTGTGTGTGTGTGTACATATGTATATATTTTGTTGTTACCCATTTTATTAAAAGCATAAGGAGAACGGGCATTCTGTTGTCTCTTCCTTGCATGTCTTTTAGAGAAAACAGCAGCTAGTGACAGTGATCACTCTGCTGGCTGACTGTGAATGGACAGTGAGCTGAGTCATGCATTGATTGATTGTTTCATTTATTTAGGAATTGCCAGCACAGGAAACAGTGCAAGACCTCAAAGGTAGAGTGCTTACTATCTTCATTTAATATTTGATCATAACATTATTCTTAGACCAATGAAAAGATTATTTTAAAAAGCAGTATATCATGAACTAGTTGAAAACGAGAACTATGAGACTATACAGTTATGTATTTGGGTGTGTATGGTAAATATATATATAAACAACAAAGCATATGCCAATTTAACAATTTCTATCTGTATAATTCAAGGAGCTCTGGTAGCATAGTGGTTACGAATTGGGCTGTGAGCCACAAGGTCAGCAGTTTGAAACTACCAGCTGTTCCATGGGATAAAGGTGAGGCTTTCTGCTCCTGTAAAGATTTACAGCCTCGGAAACACTATGCAGGGTCGCTCTGAGTTGAAACTGACTCCACAGCACATCACAACAACAACAACATGTATAATTCAGTGACATTAATCACAGTCTTCGAGCTGTGCACCCATCCTTTCCCCAGTTATTTCACCCCCGTTAACATAAACTCTGTACACTAAACAGTAACTTTTTGTTTTCCCCTTTCTCTTACCCCTGCTAACCATGCACCATTTTTGATTTCTATATATTTGTTTAATTTCATATAAGTGAGATCATAAAGTATTTGTCCTTTCGTTACTGACATTTCATTTAGCATTATCTCTTCAAGATTCATCCAGGTTCTAGCTTGTAAGAAAACTTTGTATTTCTCTGTGGATGAGTAATATTGCATTATCTTTTGATGCCACTTTTTTTTGCCTGTTCATCTGTTGTTGAATATTTCAGTGGTTCCCATATTTGGGATGTTGTGCACCATGCTGCAGTGGGCATTGGTGACAGGTTTCTCTTTGTCATTCACATCATCTGGGTGAACACACACAGTTATGATTGCTGAGTCATATGATAGTTCTATGTTCAACTGCTTACGGACCGCCAGACTTCCACAGTGGCTGTACCACTTTACAACCAACAACATCTGCAGCACTTACTGCTTTCTGATTTTTGATCATTGCCATTTTAATTCAGTGACATGGTATCTAATTGTGGTTCTGATTTTCATCTCCTAAATGGCTCATGAAAGGATCTCAAGTAATGTAGCGGTTGTGAGTGGGGCTGCTAATCTCAAGGTGAGCAGTTTGAAACTACCAGTAGTTCCATGAGAGAAAGATGAGGCTTTCTGTTCCTGTAAAGATTTGCTGCTTTGGAAACCCTATTCAGGGTCGTTGTGAGTCAGAACTGACTCCACGGCACACTACCACCACCACAAACGGCTAATGAAGGAACCTGGTGGTGTAGTGGGTTACACATTGGGTTGCTAACCTAAAGGTCTGCAGTTGGAATCTACCAGTTGCTCCAGGGGAGAAAGATGAAAGAGGAGGCTGTCTGTTCCCAGAAAGATTTACAGGCTCAGAAACCCTATACAGCAACGCAAGAGTCACAGCTGACCTGATGTACCCAACCACCAGCAACACCACCAGTTGCTAAGGACTTTGAACATCTTTCATGTACTTAGGTCCATTTGAATGTCCTCTTTGATCAATGTCTGTTCAATTCTTTTGTCTACTTTTAAATTGGACTGTCTTTTTTTTTCAAGTTGTAGAAGTATTTTATATATGAATATTTTACACGTCAAATCTGTTCTTGAGATAGTTTCAGCATCAACCTGAACTTGGATATGAGCATTTGATGGTCTGTTCCACAGTTGGTGCCTGGCCTTGTTTTGGCTGATGCTACTGAGCTTCTCCACCATCATTGTCCACAGATGTAGTTGATTTGATTCCTGTGTGTTACACCTGGTGACGTCCACATGTATATTGTTTACGTTGTTAAAAAAGGTATTTGCAATGAGTGTTGGTCTTATAAAATTCTATCATGTGATCTCCAACATCATTTATATCACCAAGGCCATATTTTCTAACTACTAATCCTTTCTCTTTGTTTCCAATTTTCACATTCCAATCACCATTAATTGTCAATACATACTGATTACATGTTTCATCAATTTCTGACTGAAGAAGTTGGTTGAATTCTTCAGTTTCTTTTTCGCTGGCTTTAGTGGTTGGTGTGTAAATTTGAATAATAGTCATATTAACTGGTTTTCCTTGTAGGAGCATGGATATTATTCTGTTACAATAGCATTGTAATATAATTCAAGATAGATGTTGACAAGGCTTTGTGACAATGAGTGTTACACCATTTCTCTTTAGTTTGTCATTCCCGCCATAGTAAACACACCATTGTCTAATGCAAAATGGCCAATTTCAAAATGGTCCATTTCAGCTCACTGATGCCTAGGATATTGATTTTTTGGTGTTCTGTTGCATTTTTGATGACTTCCAATTTTCATACATTTAATCTTTGCATTTGTATTTTAAATAACCTCACATGCATGTGAAAGCTGGACAGTGAATAAGGAAGATCGTAGAAAAATTGATGCATTTGAGTTATGGTGTTGGAGGCAAATATTGAAAGTGCCATGGACTGCCAAAAGAACGAACAGATCTGTGTTGGAAGAAGTGTAGCCAGAGTGTTCCTTGGAGGCCAGGATGCCTAAAGTTCATCTCTCATACTTTGGACATATTGTTAGGAGGGACCAGTCGCTGGAGAAGGATATCATGTTTGGTAAGGTGGAGGGTCAGAGAAAAAGAGGAAGACCCCTAGCAAGATGGATTGGCAAAATCAATGGGCTCACGCATTGCAATCGTGAGATTAGCCCAGGACCCAGCAGTGTTTCATTCTATTGTGCTATTGTGCTATTGTCGCTATGAGTTGGTAACGACTCGATGGTACCTAACAACAGCAATCTCTGCACATTCCACATTTTGATTATTAATGGAATGTTTGCAACTGTTTCTTCTCATTTTGAGTTGTACCCCAGAGTAAATTAAGGCCTTTGAAGTTTGGCACCGTCCATATTATGAAGGTCAGCTCTTTGAGGAGGCAGCTCTTTTCTAGTCATAATTTAAGTGTCTTCAAACCCGAGGGACTCCTCTTTGGACTCTATAAGACAATGTTATCTATGAGGTTTTAGTGGCTAGCCTCTCAGAAGTGATCTGTCTCCCCTTCTTCCTAGTCTGTCTTACATAGTCTGATAGCTCTCTGCTGGGTGTTCATGCTCGCATGTAAAATACTAGTGGCACAGCATCCAGTGACAGACAAGCCACCATAGTACAACGGATTGACAGATGAGTGGTGGGCTAATATGATTTTATATTTTTCAGTCACATTTAATTCACTTTCCTTACAGCAGCCACCCAGACACTACCTGTCACATTTTCTTGAATTACAATCATGAACACACATATTGTTGCACAAAATTCAAATGTAGTCATCTTTTTTCCACAGAAGCGTAACATCTCAGTGGAGGGTAACTTTCCCTGTACAACTTGTTTGCCCCAACTGCAAACACCTAGTACGTAGTAGTCACTCAATACCCATTTATTGAATGATGGTTGAATAAAGAACTGAATGCATACGGGCATGAACAGATGAATGTAGATACTTGCTCAGGAATCAGGTTTTGTCATGTGTGCATGGTAATCTCTCATGGTGATAAAGCTTAGTCAGAAATTAAAGCATAGCCAAACTTTTTATGCTTTGTATGTAGTACACAGTTAAGAACCTAGATTTTAACATTAGAGTGCATCTTCTGTTTACTCAAGTTGCTCTTCCCACTAGAATCTTTGTTTCGGTTCTCAGCAGTGAGACAATTGATTAAGTCACAGAGCCAAATGCAACTCAGCAGTTTACTTAATGCATCTATGCTGTCGCAGCAAAAATCAAACTCTCCCTCTGTCTGCTTTTATTCTTTATTATTATTTTATTCTTTATTATTTATTATTGCTCATTAAGTGCCGTAGAGTTGGTTCTGGCCCATAGCGACCCTATATAGGGTTTCCGAGGAATGGCTGGTGAGCTGGAACTACCGACCTTGCAGCTCAAACCAACTTTACAGTCCAGTGTATTGCCCCTCAAATGTTACATTGGAAGTACAATGGGAGTTAGCATCTAATTATCAAAATTGTTCTTACAGCCTACCTATGAAACACTGAGGACCCCTAGGTATTTCAAATAATTCAGTGCTTTACTAACTGAAAGGTTCTTGTTGGAACCAACCAAGATGTGCCTTGGAAGACAGGTCTGGTAATGCACCCTGGAGAGGAGAGTTGTATTCTGTCCCACACAGGATGACCATGAGTTGAAATGGACTTAACAGCAACTGTTTCATTTTTAAATAAAACATTGAAGCTACTAACAAACTATTTGGGAGAATTTCTGATTGTCAAACCAAATCACCACGTTTAAAAAAAAATGCTTTGTCCAAAGCATTGCAGTAGAAAATGGAAACTCAAGGAAACTTAAATTAGCCATTATTCTCAAGATGGTTCCTGAAAATAGGAAACTATGTAAAGCAAACCGAGGGTAAAAAAGTTGAGAGGACTGATCTTTGTTTTTTCTTTTTATAAACAGACTTTGTTTTTCAGAGGAGTTTTAAGTTTACAGGGAAAAAAATCAGCAGAAAGTGTAGAGTTTGCATTTACCTTCCTCTCCTTAGCGCATATGGTTCTATTATTAACATCTTGCAATCCTATGGTACAAGTGTTATAACAGAAGAACCAATACCCATACGCCATTATTTACTAAGTCCACAGTCTACAGTAGGGTTTACTCTTTGTGTTGGATAGCCCTATGATTTTAACAAATTCTTGATGTCATGTATCTACTTTTACAGTATTCTAAATAATAGTTTGGCTACCCTAAAACTAAATCTTTCCTCCCTCTCCTGACCAACCCATGGCAACCACTGTTCTTTTCTACCATTTTCATAGTTTAATTTTTTCCCCCCCAGAATAGAATATAGTTGGAATCATACGGACTTTACGCTTCTTGAATTTTATTGGGGTAAAAATACATTGTTGTTGATCTTAAATGCTGTCTAGTAGGTTCTGACTCATAGCAATCCTGTGTAGGGTTTATGAGAAGCAGCAGGTGAGCTTGAACTGCTGCCGACCCAGTGGTTCACAGTCCTGTGCTGATCCTATGGTGCCATCCCAGGAGTCTCTGTGTCCTCTCAAAGTCTGTGTATGTATGTCAGTGGCTGAGTCCTAGTGTGACTCTGTGGGTTAATGTACTGGACTGCAGGGTAGCTTTGAACCACAAGGTCAGTGGTTCAAGCTCACTAGCCACTCCTTGGAAATCCTATACAGGGTTGCTATGAATCGGTACCAATTTTACGCACTTGACAACAACATTTCAGTGACAGTGATTATAATCTTTAAGTTCTGCAACCATTTTTGCTATCTTTATTCCACCAAATTATTCCACCACCATTTACATAAACTCAGTGCCCCCTAAAGCAAGATCTCAAGCTTTCCCCTTCCCTCCTGACCTTGGTAACCATTTATAATATTTGGTTTCTATATATTAGCTTATTTCATATAAGTGAGATCATAGTACAATATTTGTTCTTTTTGGTGGAGCACAATTGATTTGTATGTGTATACATACCTCATTGTATTTATCCATTCATCTGTTGGTAGACACTTTGGTTGTTTCCACCTTTTGGCTATTGTGAAAAGTGTTGCAGTCAACATTGTTGTACAGGTTCTATACGTGTTCCTACGACCCCTTCTTCAGGTTATCTACCTAGAATTGGGATTACTAGATCATATGGTAGGTCTATGTATAACTTGAGGAACTGCCAAATGGTTTTCACAGGGGCTGGACCATTTGACCTCCCATTCAACAATGAATGAGGGTTTCTGGGGTTTTTTTTCATAAACTCACCAAAAGTCTGGTTTTCTTTCTTCTTTATCATTCTCATTCTAATAAGGACAAGGTGGTATCTCACTGTAGCTTTTATTTGTATCTCCCTAATCCTGGTGTGAAGGTGCTCTGGTAGCATAGTGGATGAAGGCATCTTTGCTGCTTCATTGTTTTGGAAATCATGAATAAAGCTGCTATAAACATTTATGTGTAAGGAGCTCTGGTAGCGTAGTGGTTACGAATCGGGCTGCGAACCTTAAGGTCAGCGGTTCGAAACTACCAGCCGCTCCGCGGGAGAAAGATGAGGCTTTCTACTCCCGTAAAGATTTACACCCTCGGAAATCCTGTACAGGGTTGCTATGGGTCGGAACCGACCCGACGGCATTTAACAACAACAACAACAACAACAACAAACATTTATGTGTAGTTTTTTATATGGACATATAGTTTTGAACCCATTTCGGTTAATATTAGGAGCACACTTGCTGTATCATATGGTAAGCATGTGTTTACCTTTGTAATAAACTTTGAGGATCTCTTGCAAAGTGACTCTACCTTTTTGCATTTTCACCAGCAAGGAGAGTTCTGTTCTCTGCACCCTTTTCACATTTGGTATTGTTAGTGCTTTGAATTTTAGTTATTGTGATGCTGTATGATAACCACTGGACTGCTAGCACAAACCCACAAGCCATTCCACAGGAGGAAGAGGATGCTTTCTGCCCCTGTAAAGATTTACACTTCAGGAACCCTATGTAGAGTGGCTACGAGTTGGAATTGACTTGATGGTAGTGTGTATATGTGTGTGTGTGTGTGTGTGCATAATGGTATTTCATTGTTGTTTTGATTGCTAATTCCCTAAAGGCTTATGAAGGACCCCTGATGGCACCATGGCAACAGTAGTAACACGCAACTACGAGTAAAAAGTCAGCAGTTCAAATGCTGCATCCACTCTATAAGAGCAAAGACATGGCAAACTGTTCCCATGAAGATTTTCACTGCAGTTGTGTCCATTGCAGCTCATAACAACTCTGTAAGATAGAACAGAACTGCTCGAGAGTTTCTGAGACCCTAAGTCACCATGGAAGCAGACTGCCTGCTGTTTCTCCTTTTAAGTAGGGGTGGGTTCAAACTGCAGCCATTTGAGTTAGTAGTCCAATACTTAACCCATTGTTCCACCATCACAGACTAGCAAAACTTAATGGGCTTTTTTGCTCTGTCATATAGGGTTGCTATTAGTCTGAACAGACTCAAAGACAGAACAGTTCATTGTGCTCCTGTGGAACCTATATATAGATCAATAGGCAGTTGTTCAGACAGAACAAGGGAATACTGCCTGGTTTAAAATCAGGAATGTATGCACCAGGGTTGGATCCTTTCACTATATGTATTCAATCTGTATGCTGAGCAAATAATTAGGGAAGCTGGAATAAGAATGTGGCAACAGGATTGGATAAAGACCCATTTTTTTTCACTGTGATATGCACATGACACAATCTTGCTTGCTGAAAGTGAAGAGAACTTGAAGGACTTTCTGATGAAGATAAAAGACTAGAGCCTTCATTCCTGCCCTCAAAATATTAAATTCTATGGGAGGTGACATTACACCACAATTACATAATTGGTGTCTTAGTTATTGAGTGCTGCTATAATAGTAGAAACTGACTCTACAGCACATCACAACAAATAGAAATATTCTCTTACAATTTAGGAGTCTAGAAGTCCAAATTCAGAGTGCTGGTTTTACAGCAAGGCTTTCTCTTTGTTGACTCTAGGGAAAGGTCCTTGTCTCCTTTCAGCATCTGTACGTCTAGGACTCCTTGGAGGATTCCATGCTTCTTGGCATCAGTGGTTAGCAGGGTTAACCTCTGGATCTAGGAACTTCACAGTGTAGAGTCCCCAGATCTAAAGGATATCTTCCATTCCTGGCTCTTCTTTCATGGTGGTACTAGGTCCCTCTGAACTCTCCTCAGTCTACTCTCCTTTTATATCTCAAAAGAGATTGACTCAAGATACAACCTAATCCTGTAGATTGCACCTGGCCTCATTGACATCATAGAACTGATGATTTATAGCACATAGGATAATTATATCTGATCAGAGATGATCACATGATAGCTAATAATGAGGATGATAGCATCATATTAGATTTCATCATTATCTTATTTGACAAAAGACTGAAAATCCTGGCCAAGACAAGTTGACCCCAAACTGTAACGATCACAATTGACTATTTCATTATAATTTATATGACATCCCTGGGATTTAGACGTGAGTCAATAAATAATGGAAATACGGAGTCTTGGTGTGGAGTTACAGGAAAAGCACCAGACTGCTAACCACAGGGTCTGTGCTTCAAATCCATAGGCCACTCTTCGGAAACTCTATACGTGGTTGCTGTGAGTCGGAACTGATTCAATGACACTTAACAATAACAACAATTATTATAGCATCTATCCCTACTTTCTCCCAGAATTTTAATTAACAGGTAAAACTTTTATATATTTATTTAGCTCTTGATCAAATACCTCCAGATGTAGAAGACAGATAAAAATTTTTCTTGATTATAGTTGTGTAAATTATTTTGGGAAAACTTAGATAAGAGAACACATAGTTCATCATGGCTTATTCTATTTTTCCCTAACTAAAAAGAAAGTGTAATGTATTGACTACAGTAAGAATATTAATTTTAGTTTCTTTTCAAATATAATGTCCCAGCATTCTATTTAAAGTATTTACCATTGAAATAGAGTTGATGCAGTTTATTTACTGAAAACAAGAAAATATAATATTTATGTCACACCAAATATTATAGATATTAAAATTTAGATACTGTTCCATTTGTTTTTATAAACATGGTGATGCACTGTTCAAACTTTTCTTTAAGTTTCAGTGTTCCTACTTACATAAAATTGGTAGATGCCATTTGGCAATGAAGTTGGCTGATAATTACAAAAAGCAATGGACTAGCACATGCTTTTTTTGCATTTTAATATATTTTTATGAGACACCAAAGAGTGTAAGACATGAAAAAGACGCATGGTGACTAGGGTGGAAACCTAGGTGACATAGCTAATAGCTAGTCAAGCTAGAACCTTTCTGACTAGAACTAAACCCAAACCCAGTGTTGTCATCGGTTCTGACTTATAGTGACGTTATAGGATAGTAGAACTTCCCGCTTCCAATGGAGTCCTGGTGTGACACTGTAGGATAAGTACTGGACTGCTAACTGCAAGGTTACCCATTCAAACTCACCAGCTGCTCATTGGAAATCCTATACAGGGGTTGCTACAAGTTGGAACAACTTGACAACATGTGACAAAAACAGCCATCTTTATGGAAGCTGACTGCTACATTTTTTGTCTATGGCGCAGTGGATGGATTTAAACCACCAACCTTATGGATAGTTGTTAAGTACCGTGGAGTCGGTTCCGACTCATAGTGACCCTGCACAGGGTTTCTGAGGCTGTAAATCTTTACGGGAGCAGAATACCTCATCTTTCTCCCACAGAACTTCTGGTAGTTTCCAACTGCTGACCTTGAAGCTGGCAGCCCAACTCGTAACCACTACGCTACCAGAGCGCCAGGACTCCCATTTTATTATTTTAAGGCACAAATATGTTATTTAACCATCTCACATTGAACCATCTCACTCTGTCTCCCAAGCCCACAAAAGAGCAAAATTTAAACATTAATATTATGGAAAGTACAGTCCTGGTGTGGCGCTGTGGGTTAATGCACTGGACTGCAAAGTCATTTGAACTGCAAGGTTAGCGGTTCAAGCTCACCAGCTGCTCCTTGGAAACCCTATGCAGGCTTGCTATGGATCGGAACTGACTCAATGACACTTAACAACAACAACAACAACAAAGGGAACTTTAAATATTAACATTTCAGGAACAACTTCACAGTAGAGATGATACTTGAAAAATCGACCTCCAGTTACATTTCTTGTTGGCCTTATTTTTAATTTTGTTAATATTAGGCCTTGCTTTGGGCCATGAATCATTCATTTCCAGAGCTAATGCAGTTGTTATTTGTCATTCATTTCAGGCATCATTCTGTCAGATCAGCCTGGAGCCCCTGTGTCATCTACCTCAGCCTGTGTCAGAATGGAAAACTTGCCAGTTTCTAAAGTGTCCATGCCAGAAACCGTGGCCACATCAGCAATACGAATGAAGCCAGTGACCCCAGAGACTCCACTCAACAATAAAGTGAAAGAAAGAGCAAACAAGGTACATCCCCCTTTCCACCACCGATCAGAGGGTGGGCTACAAGACAAAGATGCCTTGGAGAATTTGCCACACTTGTCTTTGTCTCAGTATGACTTACTAGAAACAGAGGTGTCTTTCCAGCCCTGGGGCAGTGAGAACTCAGTCTTGATTCCAGAACCCACACAACATCTCAAGGGCTCCATCGGGGAACAGTTGCAAAGTAAGTCTCCTCAGGACAGCCTGAGCAGCAGCTGCCCACAGTGTAACACCATCATCACCAAACAGGAAGAGGATCTGGTGGATACTTCCTGCCAAGTAGACCCTCCTTTGGACGAAGAAGTTTACTCCAATAGTGATATAGCTGTTACTCTGATTGACACTTCCCAACCTGGGGACCCGCTGAGCCTGCATGAGCCCATTAAGATTGTCATTACAATGAGCAGTACTCCAAACTCTGTGACCGACTTGGAAAGCTCTCTCCACCTGAAGGTGATTGGTACAGAGAGAGCTGGACCAAAGTCAGATGCTGAACCAGCTACCTCAAGGGTGGCTAGTCCTCCAAACAGCGAGCAGACACGAATTCCTGTCATCACCCTTGAGCTTTCTGAAGATGGAGAAGGAGTCACCATTTGTCCTGAAGGGACACCAGAAAGACTGATGGTAGAGGAGTCTTCCAATCAGTGCTCTGGCTATGAGTCTGGGGAGGCAGGCAATGCCACAAAAGATTGCAGTCTTCCTCCAAGGGACCACTGTGAAGTAACCTCACCACTCATACAAAATGTAGCCTCCGAGTCTGAGAGGGGACCAGATGGACAGGCTAACCTTGACCCTTCTTCTTGTAAGAGCAGCCATGAAAAGAGACATGCCCGGGTCCTCAGCATGGACAGTGGAACCGACATCTTCTTGAGTAAGAACTCTGCAGAATTTATTAGTGATAAAGAGAAAACAATACCGACTTCCAAATCTGACTTGGAGGCTAAGGAAGGACAAATACCAAATGAATCCAACTTCCTAGAATTTGTTTCCCTGTTGGAATCAATTAATACTTCCAAGGTAGTGGCAGCCAATCAGTCCCATGGCTCAGCAGAGCCGAACAAAGAAAACCGGCTTCTTGGAGGTACGATTCTACCTCAGTTTTGTTCTGTTGACACAAAGAAGGCAATAAATCTCTTTCTAATTTACCTTCTATAATTTGATTTTTCAAATTGCAGGATGACTGTTGTGCAGTTGTTTGCCACTCCACTTGGTAATTAATTTGATGAGCGTACCAAAATTTAGCTTTCTGATGAGCATGCATTAAAATTGGGATACTCTACCAGGAAGGGTCCCTGGGTGGCACAAATGGCTTGCACTCGACTACAAACCTGAATGTTGGCAGTTGGAACCCATTCAGTGGCAATGTAGAAGAAAGATCTAGTGATTTGTCTCTGTAAAGATGATAGCCAGGACGTCCCTCTGGGGCAGTTCTGCTCGGTAACACATGAGTCCAAATCTGCTCAATGGCAATGGCCTTGTTTGATTTTTTTCTGCCAGGAGACTTTGTTGTTGTTAGGTGCAGTCGAGTTGGTTCCAAATCAGTGATCCTATGTACAACAGAACGAAACACTGCCTGGTCCTGGGCCATTTGCACAATTATTGTTATGTTTGAGCCCATTGTTGCTGTTACCATGTCAATCCATCTTATTGGGGGGTCTTCCACTTTTACACCTGGAAACTTAAGGCAATGTAATGAATAGTTTGCTTCCCTAGAATGCAAGGATATTTATTACCAGGGAAACAGACCATTATATTTTACTGCAACAAGAAGAACTCCCTGTAAACATCTCTTCCTTCATAGAACAGATGCATTCTGGGAAAGCTGATGCTACACCATATGAAGTGAATCTGCTGCTCCTGTTGAATACAATTATTGTTCTTAAATGCCATCAAGTCAGTTTCAACTCATAGCGAGTGACCCTGTATAGTGTTTTCATGGAAAGACTGGTGAGCTTGAACCACTGACCTTGAAGTTCAAACTGACCTTGCAGTCCAGTGCATTAACCCAGAGTCCTATATACAGAATTCTTGAATTTTCCAAAGTTATAAACATGTTACTAACAAACACTTGTAAAGCTCTTAATTTATAGACACTGTTCTAAGCCCATTCCATACATTAGCTGGGGTAACCCCCAGATAGTGGTTTGCCTAAGCAAAGCCCTGATTTTCACTGTTAAAAGTTTCCTAAGCTGAAGGATCAGTTCTACAGTTATCCTCATAGTATACCACTTATGCTTCATTAAACTAGGCTGTGAGCTCTGCTATCATTTCTGTTTCACAAATGAGAACAATAAGGCCCAGGGATTTTCATTAACTTTCCCAAGTTTGGAACTCCAGTAAGGGCAGAGCTGAGATTTAAAATATTTTGCCTATATGAACATCAAGATTATTTTTAGGTGACGTTATATCTCTGGGCCTCTTTTTTCTTGTTGATAAACTTATGCTACTTGACTAGAATTTTTAAAAAAAATAAAATCTCTAAATTGTGACATTTCTGACATGTTTGAATACACAATTTCTGCATATATCTGTGTTGCAACCTTGTCTATAAGGCCGGAAGCTGTAGTTGCATGAGATAGCTCCTTTTCTTGACTGTGAAATATAGTGCTGGCCACTGTTCTTAGGGACAACCAGGAGCTGAGGCTTTCTTGCCTTGGTGGATCTGAGAAATTTGCCCCTCATTTTGTCTATTTTTCTTTAAAGCACAATTTCAAAAGGATTGTCATGCATATTGATGGATCCTGTTGTCTTTTCAAGGGAGGATTGTTGTTGTTTTTGTTAGGTGTTATTGAATCGATACTCATAGCGACCCTCTGCACAGCAGAATGAAACACTGCCCGGTCCTGGGCCAACCTCACGATTGTTGCCACACTTGAGCCCATTGATGCTGCCACTTGGCCAATCCATCTCGCTGGGGTTTTCCTCTTTTTCTCTGACCCTCCACCTCACCAAACATAATATCCTGCATTAGCATACACCTATTATTGTTGTTGTTAGGTGCCATCAAGTCTATTCGCAACTCAGAATGATCCCATGGAATCTTGGTGTGGCACTGTAGGATAAGAATCAGACTGCGAATTGCAAGGTAGACAGTTCAAACTGACCAACTGCTGCTCGGAAACCCACTACAGGATCACTAGCCAGCCCGTCTTTACATGAAGGAGCACTTGTGGCTCTGTAGGATGAGCACTGGATAGCTAACTGTCAGACTGACTGTTCAAACCCACCAGAACACATCATCAGTTTTACATTCGACAAATCATACACTGTGTTTCACCTCAATGATTATAATTCCCTCAATGTGACATCACTTATTCCATTCTGTCCCTATTTTCCTGTTTCTAGTCCTTCCTTTCCCAATCCTTCTGAATTTTGTCCTTAGGTAAATGCTACCTGTTGTTCTCAGATGGTTGACCATTTTATGATGTGAATACTTTACTAGAGTTGCTGTCCCTGGCTTAAAATTGAGTCACAGGGGTGAGTTCAGTTCCAGAGCTGAAGGATGACCAAGGGCCATAGTCTTGAGGTTCCACCAGTCTCTTGTCTGACCAGTAAACCTGGTCTTTTTAATGATTTTTAGTTTTGTTCAACACCTTCCAGGAATTTCGAATGTGATACCTTTCAGAGCAGTTGGTCATGGTAGCCAGGTATCATCTAGTTCAGGATTATGAGGACTGATGTTCCCATAAGTCATTAGTCCCACTGGACTAATTGTTTCCAAGTGTTTTTGTTTTTCATCAGTCTTTCCCCAAGACTGGGAGAGACCAACAGTTGCACCTTAGATGGCTACTCATGATCCCAGTGACTTCCTCAATAAAGCAGGATGTAGAACACTGCCTTTACGGACTGTGTTATGACAATTGACCATGGTGTCCACTGAAACCATGGTCCTGAGACCCCAGGCTCAGCAACTCATTTCCTCAAGATGTTGATAATATCTAACAAGTTTTCATATATTTACCCCTGAATGCTCCATCACATTCACGGATATATTTGCAGCAAAGGAAAATCACCATGCACAAATACCTTCTATTAACCCTTTTTATATTTATATTTTTATATCCCAATCTCTCTCCCACACCCATTCAGGCTGTATATTGAGCCGTAGATCACCATTATTGAAGGACTGTATATAAGAGAGTATTTACTTCTGTTTCCCTTAACTTGTGTACGCCTTTTGCCTTCTTCCCTCTTGTATTTTGCCTCCCCCACCACACAGATTAACACATGCCTGCTCTGATAGCGTAGTGGTTATGAATCAGGCGCTAACCTCAGGGTCAGCAGTTCGAAACTATCAGTTTTGCCGCTGGAGAAAGATGAGGCATTCTGCTCCTGTAAAGATTTACAGCCTTGGAAACCCTGTAAAAGGTGGCTATGAGTTGGAACTGACTCCACGTCATGTAACAACCAATCCTCTGTATTTAACTGCCATTGAGTTGGTTCCAATTCGTAGCAACCCTGTATAGGGTTTTTGAGGAACAACTGGTGGGTTTGAACTGCTGAATTTGTGGTTCACAGTCCACTGCTTATCCACACCTGGAGTCTAGCCAATGAATTATTCCTCCTTCTTTCCCTCCCTTGGTAACCAAAAGAATGCTTCTTTTGGGTTAAAGTGTTAATTTTGGTTCTTTCATCCTTTTGGATAAGTATGTTTATTGCTATAAATTGCCTCCTGAGCACTGCTTTTACTGGGTCCCATAGGTTTTGTATACTCTGTTTTCTTTACTATTTGAGTCAAGGGATTTCTTAAATTCCATTTTTCATTTCTTCTATTACCCAGTGGTTTTTAAGCAGGGTGTTATTAAAATTCCATGTAATTAATTTTTTTCTTGATCTTTCTATTCTTAATTTCTAACTTTAATTTTATAGCACTGTGATCTGAGAAGATGCATTGTAGTGCTTCGATGTTATAAAATTTATGGAGGCTTGCTTTATGACCTAACATATGGTCTATTCTGGAGAATGTTCCATGTGCACTGGAAAAGAATGTGTCTATTATGCTGTTGTTGGGTGGAGTGCTCTGTATAAGTCTATGAGGTCAAGTTGGTTAATTGTGTTGTTTAGTTCTCCTGTGTCTTTGTTGAGGTTCTTTCTAGTTCTGTCCTTTATTGAGAGATTTATCTTCTAGCTCACTAGTTCTGGCTTCTATCTCTTCAATTCTGCTCCTTTGCCCTTTCAGTGTATTGTCCATTTCTGATATTCTATTATTAATCATTTGGATTTTTCTGTAGATTTTGAATTGTTTCCAATGCTGTATCTATCTTATTTGATTGTTCCTGTAGCACTTTCCTGACTTCTTCCTTATTTTTCTCAACTCTTTTGTATAGTGTTTTGATATATTTTATAATCGTTTTCCTGAATTCCTTCTCAGGCATTTCCAAAGCCTGTCCATCTTCCAGTATAGAGTGTAGGCCTCCTTCCAGCTCATTTGCCTCAGTCACTTTATCTCGTTTCTGGACATGTGCAGATATGGTCATCTGCTTCTGGATTTTGGGCATCTTCAGGGGTTATCTGTGGCCTTAATACTTAGATGGGTGTGTATTTTGGTATTTTTTAATGCTTTCTGAATGCCTCCGGGTAGATGTGATCAGGAAATGGGCTTCCCTTTTCATTCTTATTCCTGAGAAATTTCAAGATGCCACTCACTATTGGTCATTTTAATGTAATTTAGGATTTAATATTCAGCCTAGTTCCTTTTTTGTCTGCCTGTCCCACTCCACAATCCCTGTTCAGGCCTTTTTTCTAGTTATAAACAGTTCAGGGCCAGCTGTGGCTGTTTGGTTTTAAGTGGAAGCTGTCTCTTTAAATTTCGAGGAGATCTGTGCGCATGCGTAGTAGAACCCTCTGAGCGTGGGGCTGGGTTGTCCACTACTCAGGCACCCCTATAGTCACCAGAATGGAAGTGCACAGACAGCAAGGGACCAATGAACAGATACCAAAAAGAAAAGAGTGTCCACACCTTTATCTCTGCGGTTCTGTCAGGCGTCCGTGGCTGCTCCCATCCTTCCCCCGCTTGGTCTCACCCAAGATGGTGGCTCCTGGAGCAGCTGAGCGTCTTGAATTAGAAAGCAATGGATTTCT